GTTTTTTTTTTTTTTTACTGGTATCCTCTCATTACTTATATAGCCATTAAAGTGATACTAAACTCAGGAGTTAAATCTTAAAAATGCATTCACGTACTCTAACTATTAGCAGAAATATATCTTATTTGTGCAACACTCGGCTCTAGATCCTCAAGTCATCTCTGAGTATTTGCTGACACTGTTCTTCCTTCTGGAGGGTGGCTACTTTTGTTCCCCATGGTCCCTGTGTGTGTTATAAAGTAGTCACCGCTCCAAGCTCACTCCCATGATAGACTACAATATCATGGTTAGTTTACTAATTTGTATTGAGATTGTAGTCTATCACAGGAGCGAGCTTGGAGCGTTGGTTACTTTATAACACACACAGGGACCATGGGGAACAAAAGTAGCCACCATCCAGTAGGAAGTACAGTGTCAGTACCAATTCAGAGATGATTTGAGGATTTACAGCTGAGTGATACACAAATAAGATACATTTTTGTTATTAGTTAAAGGAGAACTATGAAAATCACTCTTCCTCATAGTTCGAGCCGACGTGTGGCATGAAACTATCATAAGTCGGCTCAATAGATTAGGAAGTGAGCGAACACATACCGTCGCTCACTTCCCGATTATCTCCCTGCAAAGCTCGCGATATACTGAGCTTTGGGTCACGGGAGGAGGTTAGTATATGTCCTCCCATGACCCTTAAGAGAACTATGGGGAGAAACACTTACCCCTTAGTTCTCTTTTAAGGTACTTGACATTTAACTCCTGAGTTTAGTGTCACTTTGATATTGTAACTATAGAAAATACTATTTTAGTCATACTATAATACACTTTTAAAATTGTAACCTAGCACTGTTTTTTGCATCATGATGTAACCTAATGGGGTATTTATAAATGTTTATACACACACCTTTCAGCCATTTTCACACATCTTTCGTACTGAAAACATCTTTCGTACATCTTTCGTACTGAAAACCCTTTGTTTGGTCTGCATATCAGTGGAACCCTTTTTCCTGCAATGGTAATTGATATTTTTTTTCTTACATTTAGCTGATTGGTCACATAGAAAAGTGTGGACTAGACACAGAAGGTATTCTGAGAATACCTGGAGCTTCTTCAAGGGTTAAGGTAATATAGGTTACTTTGCATTTTACTGATATTTTAGCAAATTATATATCAACCTAATTTATTCTTGTAGAGAAAGGAAAAATGGTTACCCAGCTACAATTATGTAATAATTATAATTCCTCCTAGACGTTTTGTGCTGCTTTTTCTTGTCTATGCTAGCTTACTGTGGTATGTTACACAGTGTTAATGACATCAAGTCTGGCCAAACGAGTCATCCCTACATTACTAGATTTGTTAAGTGTCACAACGCCAGCCAATTGGAATACCCTTTTTTTTATTAGGCCTCATTCACACGAGAAAAGGCCGGCATGTACAGCTCCGTGCTGTGTGCACAGCCTTATTGGGCAGCTCCCGGGAAGGACAGGTGCTGTGTGTGATTAGTACGCAGCCCCTGTCCTTCTCTGTGGGAGTACGCGGCCATCCGCCGCCCTACGCTCACACTCCATCTTCTCAGCGTACGAGTAAGGACACCCACAACCGCATGGACGTGTAGGGCGGCATATGGCCGCGTACTCCCATAGAGCACACGCAGCCCCTGTCTTTCCCGGGAGTTGCCCGATACGGCCGTGCATGCAGCATGGAGCTCAGAAAGCAAGGCGGGGATGCCCGACGAGAGGAGGGCACTCTTCACTGGCTCTTGTAAGTGATCTGGTGATAGCTCAGCCACCAGAATTGCTTGCAGTGTAAAGCTGGCCGTCGACTTTACACAGCTAAACAGAGTGCCGACGGAGTCTGTTTAGAGGGGCTCACTGCCAGCAGCATACGGCATATGTTGTTGTAACCGAAATGGTTAACGCTAAACCCCAGACAGATATTAAAGACACAAATGAATACAGTTCTATTATCGTCAATCATCATTATCACTAAACATAATTTGAATGTATTTTTAAATGCAAGCATTGTAAGTACCTGAATTTGACCAGGTGTCAGCCTCCTAGTAGGGATGTGAGAGGAAGAAGCAGCACATGGAGCCAATCCGTTCATGTGCTGACAAAGAGCATGCTGTTAGGAAGAGAAAGCAGAGAGATGAGCTCACCACTGTGCTGCTTCTTCTTTCTTTGCCCAGCCACAGGCTGGGAGCAAGTGCATGACAGCCAGGGCTCAGAGGAAGTGATTGATATAATATTATTCAACTTGGAAAAATGAGGACATCTTGTGGCAGAAGTATTACTGTGAAAATAGCTCTTGATAAATGTAAACATTGCAGCAAAAGCTGTTTTTTTTTTAAATTTTATATTTTGATGGACCATTTATTGTTGGCTGATGTTATGTTTATGCTAGCTAACGTAAGCTGATTACTAACCAAACTCCAATTCTGTACCATGTTTTCCAGTGAGGGGTTTTGTAAGTTTCTTTCCGCGGGAGAATGCTGCTGTGTGCCCTGGACGTCAGGTCCTGCAGCAATACTTTCAGGGCTTATTTACAATAGCATCATCTGTTATACTCTCTAACACATGGCTACTAGTGTGTGTTTTGTATTTGAATTCATTTTTATGTATCACTGTGCACTGCACTGCATTGCGATGGGGTGTAATGTGTGTTGTGTAAAAATGCACCATAATTCTTTTTCACCACTAGATTCTTCCAATCTTCTGGGTTTAAGGATAACTGAATGCTGAAGGATAAAACAAATATTTTGCCTTTTGACCTTAAAGTGATATTAAACCTTTATTTTTATCAATGGAAAATTGATACTTTTGGAACTTTTTTTTTTTTTAATATGTCAATTCCTAATTTGTAGTGGGTCTCCAGCCCCTGCACGGGTTCCTCCATTAGCTAAGCAGCTTCTGTGGAGGCACCCATGCGTGCGCGTTCCCGGCCGTGCCCACAGTAGCTGTGTGCGTCCATAGACACACACAGCCCTGTGGCAGGACACGCCCCTCCTCTTTGCCCAACAGTTTGACTGATGGCAGAAGGAGCCTATGGCTCCTTTGCCCTCAGTATCCTCCCCCGCAACCTGGAGGTTCGAGACAGAGGATCACTTCGGGGATCGGTGGCGGTGACAGGACGGGGGAGTCAAAAAAGTATTGGGCATTTTTTACCTTTAATGCAGAGAATGCATTAAAAAAAACACCCAGCCTTTAGTAATACTTTAAGCACCTTTTGTGGTCTTTCAGCCCTGGAATCCCATGAATGTTTCTTCAATAAACATGAGAGATTAGCACATTTTAGCTCTTCTGTTGTCAGCCCCCATACTTGATGTTGCTTTAAAGGGCATATTATGTCTGCACTGATGATTCCTGTGGAGATATTACGTGACCAGAATGTCCCGGGGACTCACGTATCTATATCACTGCATCAATCCCTCTTCAGACAGTTTAGCAGCAGAAGCAGCTTTGAAAAAGAATGTAGTTTTATGGAATTGGCTAAATAAAATGTTCTTAAATCAGTATTTTTGAAACCTCCAATTTCCAAAGAGAGATGGTGCCTTTTAGTTGCATACTTTGAGTGCAAGGGTGAAATGGGTGACTACAACTTTCCTAATTTACACCGTGCTCGTTTGTCCAGTATAATCATCATCAAGCTCTACTTTTAGTGCTCTACTGGCAGCATGCTAACGTACGTTAAACATCTCTGTAGTCCTGGATGCCATCTAGAAATATATTTATTAAAAGACTATATGTTCTTTCAGTAGAACTGCTTATCATTTGTTGGCAGCCATCTAATAAATGTCTGTGGTATACTGAGCAAAAGCTGCTTGTTTTGTATCTGGTTTTAGTACACATAATTAGTGCTTTGGCATTTGCACCATTTTTGATCAACCTTTGTATTGTTTTGCAGGCTGTGTGCCAGGAACTGGAAGCCAAGTTTTATGAAGGAACATTCAACTGGGATACAGTGAAGCATCACGATGCTGCCAGCCTTCTGAAGTTTTTAATTCGCGAGCTCCCTCTGCCATTACTCACTGTGGAATACATGAAAGCTTTTCATTCTGTGCAGTGTGAGATAATGTTTTAATTAAATCTTCCGTTTTAATATGTAGCATGATAGGCTTAGAGGAGAGCATTTTATTTTACCCTGATGATGCAGTTGTCGCTGTAGTATGAAATTGATTTTGTACAAAGCGCAAGAAAGCAACAAAGGGACATTTATGGTAAGAATAATGAAGCTATTGACAGCTGGGTCTTTGGACCTTCCATTATACCCTCTCTTTCTCAGTGTGACACTGTGTCACTTATTACATTATTAACAGATCACAGAGTATAGAGCAGTATGGCAGGTCACATAATTCATTTTGCAAAGCTAAGCATTTCCCTAGAAGCTAAATATATAACTGTATTATGCACAGTCAGCTTTTATTCTGTACTTTCTAATTTAGTGTAGCGGATAAGCGGATAATGCGCAGTTAGGTCTTTTAGTATAGATATACTGTACATTTCAAGGCTAGCCTCTATTCTTCTGCAAGCTCCCTTTTTTTTGCCATAGAGCATAATGGAGACGCTTTGTCTCCTCACAGGACAAGAGCATGAGTCAGCCTAGCACAAGTTGTGACATTTAGACACAGCCCTCCACTGATATGAGGTCTGTATTTGGGGTTATACATTGAATGGAAAGGTCAAGGGGGGGCAGTAGGGCTTAAAGGAGAACTATGAGTCGAGTGAAAATCACTCACCTCATAGTTCTAGCCAACCTGTGACAATGAAACTGTCACAGGTCGGCTCAATAGATCAGGAAGTGAGCGAACACATACTGTCGCTCGCTCACTTCTCGATCCTGTCCCTGCAGAGAGCCCTGACTGTTACTCACGGCCCCCTGCAGGGATTCCCCCCTCCCCTGTCCGATCCTCCAGTGCTGCCTGGCGGAACGGACAGGGGAGGGGGTGGGTACAGCTGGCTCTGCCTCTAGATAGGTAGAGCCAGCTATCACTCACGCAGCTGGGTGGATGCAGACAGTAATGTCAGGATCCGTCCCGGCTGTGGTGTCTCAGTATACCGCGAGCTGTAGCTCGCGGTATACTGAGCTTTGGGTGACAGGAGGATGCTAGTTTGTGTCCTCCCGTTACCCTTAGGAGAACTATGGGGAAAAGCCCTGGCCCCATAGTTCTCCTTTAAATCTTCTATAAGCATAGTCCTTTAGGCATACAGTTTATTATAACACATAAGTGGTTATATAAGCAGGTATGATTTGCTTACACAGATTTTTTATTAAGACATATGTCCTATTGTAGACCTGGCTTGTTCATCATAGTTCCATCATTCATAGTTCTCCTGAAAGCAAACCTTCCCCAGATCCCTTTTTTTAGCTTCTTGCAATCCCCCGCTGATGTTTCCCGTTTACTTTTGTATTATCCTTTGTCTGGACCCGCTCTTCTTCCCCAGCCACCATTCATACCTACGGAACAATGATATGTTTCTGCTCCCTCCCTATTCGTGTCGCATATCCCAGGTGGCTGCAGGAGCAGGGACTCACAGCGGCTGGGAGGTGGACCTGGCCGTGCGTCATCGGGGGCCAGCTGCATAACTCAGATGAGACAGCTGGCTCCCAATTATGTCAGAATTAAAATGGCGGTTTGGGACCCAAACTGTGGCAGTGTATTGGTGGATCACAATAAGACAAAGCTGGATTCGCTGGACATGTGAGTATGTTTATGACTAGCCATTATTGTTTTTTAGTTTTGAATAGAATGGGTAATATTTTAAATTCCTGACAGGTTTTTATTTCTGTCTGTCACCCCATTGGAGAGATTTTCCCTTGCTTCCTGACCCTAGTATGCCTGTGTAAGAAATGAGGGATGTGGTGATTTTAATACTTCTTCACTCTACTAAAAATTTGTTTTTGTCTGTCGTCATTGAAAAGATTTCCCATCACTTCCTGTCCTGACAGGGAGTCAAGAAAATGATTTCCAATAGGGACACATATAGCAAAACAAAAACCTGGGAGAGGCTCTAACCCTTACCTGCATGGTCCAAAACAGAAGACCATTTGTTGGCTGGAATTTGGCTTTAAACACAGTGATTTATGAGAGAGAAAAAAAATTAACTGAAATTACATTACTAAGTGAGCCACTGTTAAAGTGTATGTAAAGGCATTTTTTTTGGATAGATTATTTCCCTCTGTCAAGTTTTTATTGTTGTCTTTGTCTTTCCGAGGACGTGTCTTGTTCTGGTGACCACTGCTACTAAGAAAGAAAGTCATGGAAAATCCAAAATGTTAGAATTGTCACTAAAGCTGTTTTTAAAGCAGCAAATTTATCATTAAGTGTAAATGTCATTTCTGGGATGGCATTGACCGGTATTGTGTCTTCTCTGGATATATCATGCTTCTTAGCACTGGATGAAGTGTGGTGTTTTTTATTTTATTTATAGACCTCCCATCAAAAAAGCATAGGCTCCAAGCTCTGAATCTACTGGTCATTTTGCTGCCTGAAATACACCGCAACACCCTAAAGGTCTGTCTTTCATTTACATTTTATTTCATGTAAATTCCTTTTGTGTTTTGTAAATGTGAAATATTTCATTTATTAGTGAATGCATTTTAAAGCAAACAATGGGTTGGATTGTTAACAATGGATCTATTCTCTATAACTGTGTAACTGAAAGCACATGGATAAACTTGATCCTGTTGTGCCGGACGTAAAGTGTCTTTTGTGTCCTGTTTTAGGCTTTGCTTGAATTCCTTCAGAGGGTCGTTGATCACAGAGAGCAGAACAAAATGACTCTGAAGAATGTTGCCATGATCATGGCTCCCAATCTCTTCTCTGACCATACCTCCTTATTAAAAGGTATAGATCAAGGCGTTGTGACCAGTGCAGCCAAAACAGCTTCCATCATGCTTTTCATGATCAAATACCAGAAACTCCTGTGGACGGTAAGTGTATAATTGGAGAGATTGCACCTTCATAATCTTTCTCCATACAAATACCAATATTACAAAATATTAAAGGGACAGTAAATGTAAACTTTTAGTTAGGGAGCCATATTTATAATTAATGAATGGAAAATATGTAGCACAGTTTTGTTTTTCTTTACACTCGACACTGGTTCTCTTATGTCTAATCACATATGACATATAAGTGAACATATATGGCTGACATAGAAAACAGATTACTTCACCTTAGTTGTGACTGAAGTTTCCATCAGAAGCGAGAACTGTACCATTCCTAATTATGCAGGTACTGTTGATTTACATCTTTCTTGTTGGAGATTGTATGTATTCTAGTAATGATGGTCATAGGTACAACACTGACCGCTACTGGGGTGTGAAGAGTAAAATATTACTTTGCCCAGAATGCTTAGGGTGAGATTTCATTACATTATTCAGTGTTTACCTGTATGACCTTGTATATAACTTTTTATTACAAGCAGGTGATGGGTGGATGTGTGGTACTTCTGCTTTTAGTTTTAATAATGATTATTCTTAACATCTTTGATATTCAGATGGCTCACTATTACAAAATATTTCACCTAACTTTCCATAAAAATGCGATTTACTGTAAGACTTTCTTTCACTGTGGGCCACTGCACTCCTCTATGTTTAAGCATTCCACATTCAAACAACTTCAGTAAGCCTTTACTTGAAAAGAGAAGTAAAGCCAAACCTTTTTTTTTGGCTTTACTTTTCTTTTGGGTCACAGGAGTAGATTTACTAATGTCCTCCTGTGACCCACAGTTGGCATGCCCGCTGTATTCTGACAGTGCAGAGCAACATTGTGGCAAGGAAGGATCCTAACAATATTGTCGCGATCCACCCCGCTGATGCCTCTCTAGAGCCAGAGCCAGTTGTACCTGCCCCCCCTTCCCTGTCTCTCCTTCCAGTCAGTGCTGAAAGAACAGAGTGGGAAGGAAGGAATCCCTATAGGGCAGTGACGTAATTAACAGGCAGCGCTTCATCCATGACAGGTTACACAGCGGGGAGGATTTCCCTGCTGTGTAACCTGTTAGATGCCGATCTAAATAGAGAAAAAGCTGTCAGCTTCAGACTTGAAGCTGACAGCTTTTTCCTCCATAATTCTAGGTCAGGCTCTGCCTCACTTGCCTCCCCTGACCACACGTCCCTGCTATAAGGAGTATATCCCTACAGCCTGACGGTCACTGCTCTTTGCAGGAAGGAGACCATGAGCTGAGTGATCAGTGGTTACTTCATTGTTCAGCTCTCAGTAAAAAGAGCCAGTGTGTTGCAGCTGCAGTGTCCCACGCAGGCTCTAAGTATTGGGAGCAGTATATTTCACTCTCCAGCATATAAAAAATTAGATGTGTTAGCTGGTCCTTCTCTTCAGCATGCGTAACTAGTAAAGTATATGTAAACCCAAACACAAATATCTCTTACAATAGTTAACATGTTAATGTAGTTTCACAAGTCATTTTCAATCTTTCTAATCTTCAGCTTTTACTACCATAATAATGGATAATCTTGCCACGAATTCTTGTTCAGACATTTCCTGTTTTGTGGTGACAATGTTCTGTCCTTGTCTACTAATTGTGATCCTGGGTTGTCACCCTGTCACATACACACCTGATGGGAGACTACAGGTGGCCATGCCACCTTTCACTGTTAGAAGTCCAGGACAAGGATGTGCAGCTAGCACTGGAGTGTTTGCATGTAAACAGGGAGCAGTTGAAAGAGGCAGCAGATGATCAGCAGCACTGAGACAGAAAAGAGGATGAAAAAAGTTTAAAAAACTACTTTCTCAAAAATTGAACAATGCCGGTTGTTTATGATACACAGTATGTTAGCAAACTAAGGGCTCCTTCATATGGCTAATTTGGGCCGTAAGCTGCCAAGGTTCAGTGATTCTCTTTGGTGGGTATGCACAGTTGTAAGCAATTGGCCACAGTGAGCAAACTATGCATATCAATGATAGGCTGACAGGCGCCCCAACTGTTTGCAGGTAATGGCACACCTTAGTGGTTGAAAAAAAATACTCACATTTAAGAATTGATCTGAAACTTCAAGTGGTTGCTAGGTATATGCCTGACAACTGTCACTCCGTGTCACCGTTCTCTCTGAGTTCAAACGGGTCAGACCGGAGCTGTACTGCCGACCATGTGATCTCCAATCAGCGTCTGCGAGACTTCGCAGCAGCCCACTGAGAGGAGTGCGCACCTGGGTGAGCAGTATGTGGGTATATGCCAGGCTCGGGTAAACCTGCGTTTCTATGAGCACGAATTTACGTTGTATGGTTGTGCACCTGTACACATGTGCATGTTTATGCAAGTCCAGCGTATGGCCACATATGGCCATTTATTTCAAGTGTTGGATATAATATATATTTGTGGACTGTTTAGTTGTTTGATGTGACTGCCAGGTATCTGCTTACCAAGAGACTGAGCTATACCATTTTGGAACTTAATACAAAATGATAGATCATTTTTCATACACAGATTCCAAAGTTCCTTGTTGCGCAAGTAAGGCAACAAAACATTGTCAGCCAAAAGAAAAACCTCAAGGAAAAAGCTATGAAGAAGCTCTTAAAAAGGATAGCATATGATCGAGAAAAGGCAGAAAAAAGCCATGGTGATGTGAGTATTGTGTATATATAAAATAGAGATCATTTTGTGCCCTATGCACTGCACGTTTTACATCACTACAATGGGAGCTAAATATGTTTTTATTGTTCTATTGTGTTGACGTGTTCTGCTACATTTTCTGAGAACATTGGATTTCTTATCTCTGTCCTTTTTTCCTAAAGGAGCTTTATAAACTAATACTTCTATCACAGCTGTACAGTCACAGGCTCTGTGGCCTGATTTGACAAATTACCCTAGAGTGTTTTTGGATTATGAAAAGAAATGTGAACACACAGAGGCAACCCATACAAACACTAGGAGCACATACAAGTTCCATAAGGACAGTGTTTGTAGGAATTATCCCAGGATCCATGCACCATCATGCTATAGTCGTTTTGTAATGATGCCCACAGAAATACTGTGGAAAGGCTGGGTTTAATTACAGCCTTTTATAAATAAGAATAATTAAAGATGATAAAATAAGTAATTGGTCTTACTCTTGTCCTTTCTCTCCCGTTCATTGAAGGACACAGGGAACAGATCGGAGATCATGTACTGTAGGGTAATATTGCCACCTGCAGGAGAAGGACGCTAGGCACAAAACTAAAAACCAATTACAGCCTAGGGGCGGCCCCTGCCGGTGGCCAAAACCCCCTACCTGCTGACAAGTCTCCAGTTTTTTGCTTAGCGTCAGGAGTAAGGAGCTAAGAATTTTTTCTCGGGTATTCTTACCTGCTTCTTCCTGATTTTTTTCAGATCTTCTAGCAAGTGTTATCCGGGCAACAGGCTGGATGTCTTGGATCCTTGGAGTCTCCCCTGGATGACCAGCGTACGCATGCAGACCCGCTGCGGTGGGTCGGCTGCGGCGGCCCCGCTCCGGCGGGGTGACCTGTGGGTTCGTCCCAGGGGGGTGCCTGGGGGTCTCGGCTACCCAGTCACAGCAGCATTTCCTTCAGGTTCCTGGCGCCGCGGCTGCGGTCGGTGGCACCAGTTTTTCTACCCTGGTGCCTGCGGGGTCTTTGGGGGGGTCCGCTGGCGCTATGTTGTCCTTGGAGGCTTTTTCCTCCACCATGGACAGTTTTGTGTCCCGTATGGAGCCTGCGCTGACGCAGCGCCCTCCACGGAAGCACACTTTGCCGGGCCCCCCCCCGGTCCTTTCTGGGGGTTTCTGAGGAAGAGGGGGAAATTTCTGCTGCGGCCGTGCAGCCCGACCTGGAGGACTCCCCCCAGGCGGAGTCTGGTAGTGACGACGAGTCAGGAACCGCCCTTATGGTCCAGGAGCGCGAATTGGTCGCTGCCTTGGTTTGCGCTGTGCGGGAAATGCTTAAAATTGAGGAGACTCCAAGCTCTTCGGCGCTCCCGCCGGTTCCTTTGTGGACGCACAGGAGTAGGCGTTCCACTAAGGTTTTCCCTTACGTTCCTTTTTTTGATGACTTTGTCTACAAGGAGTGGAAGCGCCCGAGCAAGTCGTTTTCCGT